AAAGTTAACTAAGAGATTTCAAAAATTTATAAAATTTAAAAAGATGAATTAAAGATTCAAAAATTAACTAAAACCTGGCTAAAAGATTACAAAAGTTCGTAAGATTTAAAACGCTAAGTAAAAGTGAATGAAATTCAAGGTTAATCAAAATTTATTTAAAAGAGAAAAAAATACAAGAGTTACCTAAAATATATTAAAATATATTAAAATATATTAAAATATATTAATAGTTAAATAAATTATACATATGTTATAATTGAAAAATAATTGTAAAATTAATATATACAAATGAGACATTTGTCCTAAACGAACACACAAACAATAGAAAAGAAAAGAAAAAAAGATATATATATATGCATACATAGACCACGGAAAATATATGCTTGATAGCAAGAAGGAGAAAATTTTAAATATATCATAATTTTTTTTGATTTATAAAAATATAAAAGAAAAAAAAAGAAATAATTAAAAAAAAAAAAATATAATTATAAGCGTAATTATAAATATATTTATAGATTGAATTTTTTTTTTGTTTTTTTTTAATTTGAAATTTATAGCTAGGTCAACGGCGGCTGGAGTGACGACATTTCTGCGGCTGGTGGTAAGCTTTTATTATTGTCAAACAAATTTTCAGATTTAGAAGAAAAAAAAATCAATTATCTCTGTGAGAAGTAATAAATATTTCACAAGTTGTTTTTTTGTTTTTACATTTTTTTTGTTGTTGATTATCAGTGCAACAGTTTTTTTAATTTAATATTGCTATGTCACTGATTCTCCTCTATCTTTAGGTCGGAAGATTTCAGGAGCAATTACTGAAATTTTTATATATATATTTATTCATTTGGTTTTTTTTTTTTTTTCTCGTTTGTGTTTTTCTTTGCTAGGGAGTTTTTTTTATACATTAGTTAGATATTCATTTATATATGAATATATTTACTTTATTTTTATACTTATTTATGAAATTATGTACGATTAAATTTGTTAATATAGAAATAAATTGAATATTACAATTTCATTGTTATGCTATTCTGAATATAAAAAGAAAAAAAAAAATTGTGAATTAAAAACATTGTAAGATATTGTATATACTTATATGTACTCAAGTATATTGTAATTTTTTTATTATCCATTTTACCATATTGTAAAACATTCAAAATTTTTGTATTTAATTTAAAAATACAGCAAATATAAAAAAAAAAAAAGAAAAAAAAAGATATATGTAGATACAATTATTTTTTATGTATTTTTTCTTTGAGGTAGTTTTATAAGGAATTCTGAAGTCCATCATGAGCATTTAGGAATTTTTAACTAAAGGGGTGGTAATAAGCTTGTGACCATACTTCACGCTTAGGAGCATAACTACACCTTGGCTGAACAAGATCTATTGGATTTCATTGTATGACACTGTTGTTACCTAAATTTAAAGAAAAAAAAAAAAAAGAAATAAAAGAAAAAAAATATGGCACATCTAATTGATGAAGATCAGGCATTGCCAGGGATATTGCCAACTTTTCCCCATTTTGAAGATATGACTGTTTCGTATACTGGTAGAATCGAAAATGTCGATTGGGTAATGGAAGAATCCATATTAGCGGAAATGCAGGCAGCAGGGTTGCCCAGGGGTAGGACCTGCAACCTAGAGGTGAGCCAGGCCTGTACAGAGCTTCCTAAGGCTGCGGCAATAATAATAAATATCAAGGGCAAGGCCATTCCCCTACTGTACCATGAGGATTTCTTCAAATTTAGAAAACCCAAATGAGCGGTAGTATATATTTTTTTTTATTTTTTTTGTTGTTTTTTTTTTGTTTGAAATAATGAAGTAATTTATGTAAAGCATAAGGATTAGGTAGATAATAATTTTCTTTAAGCAATGAAATAATAAGGAATTTAAGTTATTAGTTGTTTATAATAATTGTTAGATGAATAGTATTTTTATATGAATATAAATAAATGAATAAATGAAGTATGAAGGAATGACCGATTGATAGGATAAGAACTTAAAGCATGGCACGATTTTTTTTTTTTTTGTAGTTGTCTACAGTGTAACCTCAGGTGGCAAGAACCCCACCCCAACACTGGCGAGCATACCGGGCTAGCCACCGTGCCATGCGCGGCCTCTGAGGACACTAATTCTGAACAACAGGTGGACGCAACAGGGTCTCTCCATAAATCCGGAGAAAACTGTTGTTGTGCCTTTTACACTCAAACGTAAACTAGACACAGGTCCTGTACGTTTAGGAAACATTAATATTTCTCTCTCCAGTGAAACAAAGTACCTAGGTGTTGTCCTAGATGGTAAACTCACTTAAAGTTCACACTTTAATAAAGTATATAACAAAGCATTAAGGGCTTTATGAACAACACGGTCCTGTATAGGTAAAACTTGGGGCCTAAACCCAAAGATCATATTTTGGATATATCAGGCAGTAGTACATCCTATCATGACATATGGTTCCCTGGTTTGGTGGCAAAAGGTCACACAGGCTGGATCTATTGCTGTATGCATGAAGCTCCAGGGATTAGCGTGTCTCTTAATGACTGGTGCTATGAGGACAAGTCCAACTGCAGCACTTGAGGCTATACTTGGAGTGATACCTCTGCACATACACATTCAATCTACGGCTGGGCTTAGTGCGCTTCGACTAAAACTCCACATGAACAAGGGTTGTTTTGACTATGGTCATACCACAATATTAAAAACATTTGGAGAACATAAAATTCCTCAATGCGATGGAGACTATACGACAGAACTCCATCGTTTTGGCAAAAAATTTGAGGTACACCTACCATCACGTTCAACGTGGGAGAATGGAGGCCCACAGGTTGACCCAAAAAGTTTGGTTTGGTGCACAGATGGATCAAAGATAGATGAAGGTACTGGCGCTGGTGTATATGGACCCAACACCAGCATTTCGGAGGTAATGGGCACACGGCTGAGTGTCTTCCAAGCTGAAATCCACACAATCAACTTATGCGTAAAATCCAATTTAATCAAAAAAATCTTCTGGCTCGAAAATTGTTATTTACTCTGACAGCCAGGCTGCTCCTAAAGCTCTTTTTCTTGGACTTTCAAATCAAAACAGGTCCTTGAGTGTTACGAGCTTCTGCAATCACTTGCAGCTCGGAATAAGGTAAGCCTTTACTGGGGTTCCGAGTCACAGAGGAGTTTTGGAATAAACTGAGCCAGTACAAAACAGATTATCAAGTAATTGGAAAATCATATGCGGCTGGAGTACTACAAAGACATTCTTAAATTCTCAAAATGTAATTTAAGGTTGATAACGGGTTTCATTACAGGTCATTATGATCTGAAATATCACCTTCATAAACTACAATTACCTGCTAACTCGGAATGCAGATTATGCCTCGAAGACCATGCACGGAAACGACCATGCACATTCTTTGAGACTGTCCAGCTTTAATAATGCACAGAAGAAACCTGTTTCATAAAGAATTTCTGTCACCAGAACAGATTAAGAACTCTTCTCTAAATTTAGTTCTAGACTTTATTCACAAAGCTTTAAGGGGCTTTGTTTAATCAATAGTGAAACTGGTACAATAAGTCTGGCCGCAGTACCGGCTGTTGGGCAATTTTCAATAATAATAATAATAATTAAAAATTCATTAAAATAAAAAAGAAAATTATTTTCGTTTTGTATTTAATGATAACTATACTAAAAGACTCCAAAAAACAAGAAAATTTAATACAAGTTTTATGAAAATGACTTATGATATTAAAAATTATATTATTGAAATAAATCAATGTTTTTTTATTTGTTGACGTACGAAACTAAATATTACCATCAAAAAGTATATATTTTTTCAAAAAATTTTGTTAATAAATAAACTTTTACAATGAGGTTCTAAACAACCCCACGCGACGGACGGCGGGTTAAAAAGATTTTTTTTTGCACTAATGTTAATAAGTGAATTATATGTAGTTTTTTTTAAATATCTTTTGTATCAAATAGATATGAGAAACAATTTTTATTCAACAAACTGAGACTTTGTATACAAATATTGACAATAAATGTTTAATAGCATAAATAAATGAAATTACATAAACAATACCTTATTTGTAGACAAATATAATAAATAACAAAATAAATGACAAAATATATAAATAACTATATTGTAAATGATTAAGAAAAATTTTAAAATAAAATAAAATAAATTATGTGCTCCGGGGTAAGGTCTATGTTGGGTTGAACTGAAAATATTATATTTTTAGTTTTACATTACAAAAACAAAATTGTCAAATTAGACTCATTAAGTCTCATGCACTTTTAATAAAATACAAATGCCAGTTTCTCGTTTACTCTTACGAAAGAAGGTTGAGTTTTTATTTGTCGCGAATTTGAAGAATTGAATAGATTCTTTTTTTTGTTTTTTACAGTTTGCTATTTTTGCTTTTTAATTCAGATCAAAGAAAAGCCTTTAATCAGACATTTTTTGGCGCCTAATGTGGGGCTCGGTGGACATTATTATCTTGTATTTTATATACATACGTATTTATATACAAAAGAAACATAACGTTTTATAGTTGCTATCCGGTATCCGTTACGATTTTCGCATGTGCTCTGTGTGTTAATAGAATCACGTTGTTTTCGATATTCTTACGGTAGTTGGTACTGTATCTTGCTGCTACATCTGTTGTCAACTGCGACGCTTTGTTTCTCGGTTTAGTTCTTGCTGCGCTGTCTTGCTGCTACATCTGCTGTCAACTGCGACGCTTTGATTCTCACTTTAGTTCTCGCTGCGCTGTCTTGCTGCTACATCTGCTGTCAATTGCGACGCTTTGCTGTTTTTTGATTGCGTTTTGGTTTTACGTATTTATATAAAATTTGTGCATCTTTTGCTACGCTACTTTGGTTCTGGTCGCTGCTGTGCTGCTGCGTTCGATTTATTTCAGTGCAATTATTATTGCGTTTTATTTTCTCGGTTCAATTGTTCACAATATTTTGATTTTTGCATCTATGGCAATTTAATTGGAGTCTATTATGACTACTGAACTTAAACAGCAACGTGCTAACACGAAGAAGAATATATCTCGGATCAGGAGTATCATAGAACGAAATGCAAAATCAGACACAACGGTTTTATCGCCTATTGAACTAAAATGCTGTTTAGGTATTTTGGAATCGTATTTCACGCAGCTAATGAGCTATCAAACTCGAATTGAAGAATTGGAACCTGAAGACAATATGAGAGGCTTGAGGATCTATATGTCAACATCAAAACATCTATTCAAGAGCAACTAGGTGAGGATTTGCATATGTCGTTACGAGATCACACGTTTTCACCTGTCTCATCAAATACGAGATTGTCACCTTTGAAATTGCCGTCGTTTAGTGGAACATACTCCGAATATAAAAATTTTATTTCGTCTTTTAATCAAATCATTGACAGAGAAGTTGGATTGTCAAATATTGAAAAATTTAATCATTTGTTAAACTGTTTACATGGACAATCTTTGGATACCGTACAAGTTTTTCAAGTTAGTAACGAAAATTATCCAAATGCACTTCAGAGATTGAAGTCCTGCTATGATAATAGCAGCTTAATTTTTATGGAAAATATTGCTTCACTGTTTGAATTGCCACATACATCAAGGCAAAGCTGTAGTCAACTTAGGAGCCTGGTTGACAATGTATCTGCAATCTACAATTCGCTGCGCTCAATTGGCTCCGACAAGCAAATTTCAAATGCAATGCTAATTTACTTGGTAATGCAAAAGGTGGATGATAGTTTAAAAAATAAGTGGAAGAAATCTCTTGACTTTAATTCTTTGCCTTTATGGGAAGACTGCGCTAAGGTTCTGGAAAGACGCTGCCAATTTCTTGCATCGATTGAAACGCCACTTCGGTCTCAAGACATAATTCGTAGGAATGACAACAAGTTTTCTAAAAAGATCGATAAGCATCAATCTCGTCAAAATTGCTCATTTGTTTGTACTAAACGCACTTGTCCGTTGCGTGACAGTACTGATCACATTATTACTGCTTGTCAGCGCTTTAACAATATGTCCGTTCCGGATCGTTTCAGAAATGTGAAAAGACTTTCTCTCTGCATAAGCTGTTTATTTAAAAATTATAAAGTTACTCAGTGTACATCTACTTTCAAATGCAAGATTTGTTCACGGTCTCATCATACAATGCTTCATCGAGCTCAAAATACATCAAGTACGTTTTTGGTATCGCCAGCACCTCAACCTACGGTGCAAACTACATCTCTGTTGTTCATACTCTTGTAAGAAATTCATCGCAAAATACAATTATTCTCGCAATTGTGCTTGTCCGTGATAACACTGATAACTATCGATTAGGGAGAGCGCTCCTCGACTCCTGTTCACAGATTAATTTAATATCTGAAGAATTTTCCCAAAAATTGAGATTACCGCGTGAAAGACATAACATACAAATCAGTAGTATTGGTGACACAAATACAAGGATAAAACATAAAACCTCAACTAATATAAAATCTCGCTTTGCTGATTTCGAAATTCCACTTGATTTTTGCATCACTTCTCATATTTCGTACCAGCCTCAATCACAAATTGATATTACTTCTTGGAATTTACCAGCAAACACTAAGCTTGCAGATGAAAACTTTTATAAATCAAATCGTATCGACCTATTATTAGGGACAGAGACATTCTTCAATATACTTTCCGTAGGACAAATTAAACTTAGAGATAACTTACCTACGCTTCAAAAAACATTGCTTGGTTGGGTTGCGTCAGGTAAGTATAATTCTGACACTCCATTTTCAACTAAATCTTCTGCTTGCTTACTTTCTTGTGAAGAAGCCATTAATTTTAATCTCGAACAGTTGTGGAAATTAGATGAAATTAGTTCTACACCTGAGCTGACTGATGAAAAATCTAATTGCGAAGCTGAATTTTGTAACACTCTTTCACGCAATGCTATTGGAAGTGTAGTTGTTCGATTACCATTTAAGGATACATTAAGTTCACTTGGACCTTCACGAGATATCGCTTTTCGAAGATTAACTGTATTGGAACGTCGCTTGTCACGTATGCCAGAAATAAAGGCACAATACGTTGCATTTATGATTTGTTATGTAGGCCTGGGAGGGAATAAAATATTAATACCACAAGTAATAATAGTCAAATAATCTGACATTACCTCGAACTTCTCGCGTTGTCCATAAGAACGGCCAATGTCTCTGCCTGGGTGTTTCTGTCGAGCACGTCACCATTCGATTCAACACCTGTGTATCCCAGATGTTTTTTTCTTTTTAAGTAATAATTTTTTTTTGTGTTTTTTATATATAAATATATAAATTACTTTTGTTTAGAAATGATGCACAGATATCACTTAATCACTAAAATTTATTCATGTGCATTGCTCGCACAGACAAAAATAAAGAAACGTGTAAAAGCTTTTATTTTTGTTTTGTTTTGATCCATATAATCGAGGCGAATTATGTCGAAAGCTCCAATAAAGTTTGACTTAGATATTAAAATATGGTATTGCCAAGTATAAATAATACACTTAAGACAAATTTTAACTTTATTGGAAGGAAAAAATAAAGTAAGCTTTTTTAAAGGTCATCACGCTCAAACAAATAATTACACACAAAACAAAACCAGCAAAGCCAACTAGAAGAGTGGTGAAAATCTTTCAAGGGCAGTCTACGGTAAACAAAGATCTAACAGAATCACTAACGTGGCAGCAGGATTGTTCAGTTAGTCAAATTGACTATATAAGAGCCAGCGGAGGCTTGATTCGGTCTCTTATTATAGTGATGTTTTCTGAGAAAGTCGAGTAGGACAGTTCAGTTCGTTGTTAAAACTCGGCAAAAGAAAATTTTTTTTTTTTAATTTAAAGTTACTAAAAAGTGCATAAAAACACAAATGTTAAGCAAAAATTAAATTTATTAATTTAAATCTGATAAAAAGTGTATAAAAATGCAAATGTTAAACAAGAATTAATTTTATTAATTTAAATTTACTAAAAAGTGCATAAAAACACCAATATCAAGCAAGAATTAATTTTATTAATTTAAATTTACTAAAAAAGTGCATAAAAACACAAATGTTAAGCAAAAATTAAATTTATTAATTTAAATCTAATAAAAAGTGTATAAAAATGCAAATGTTAAACAAGAATTAATTTTATTAATTGAAATTTACTAAAAAGTGCATAAAAACACAAATGTTAAGCAAAAATTAAATTTATTAATTTAAATCTAATAAAAAGTGTATAAAAATGCAAATGTTAAACAAGAATTAATTTTATTAATTTAAATTTACTAAAAAGTGCATAAAAACACCAATATCAAGCAAGAATTAATTTTATTAATTTAAATTTACTAAAAAGTGCATAAAAACACAAATGTTAAGCAAAAATTAAATTTATTAATTTAAATCTAATAAAAAGTGTATAAAAATGCAAATGTTAAACAAGAATTAATTTTATTAATTTAAAAAGTGCATAAAAGCGCAAATCTTGAACCAGAGTTAATTATATTATTAGTTCATAAAGGACTACGCACAATTTAAAAATTCCACGGCAAAAACAAAGAAAAAAAAAAAAAAATAATAATAATAAAAAGAACTAAAAAAAAATATATATATACATATCATCATATTCAAAATCTAACGGATGTAACGGAAAAAAAAACGGATACTGAAGGACAATAACGGCAACAGGATCCACCGTTATGAGACAACGGTGGTCAGGTATTCCGGAAATTAAGGATACAAATTGATTTGAAATTGAAAAAAAAAAAAAGAGAGGGAAACTTTAAAGATTTGATTGCATAATTTCAATTATTGTTATTATTATTAAATTTATTTGGTATTTATTATTCAGCAGATATTAAATTATAGAAGAAAAAAAAAAAAAAAGTTATCAACGTATCAGAAGAGAAAAAAAAAATAAGCTCATTACAACCACCAGTATTTAAATATTTGTTTCTTGATTTTAATTTGTTTGTAATTTTGAAATTTATAGCTAGGTCAGCGGCGGCTGGAGTGACGTCATTTCTGCGGCTGCAAGGTAAGCTATGAGAATAAATAGCAAAGAGATAATTAATTTTTTTTGGTTAACAAGACTGAATGTTTTATAGTTGAATTTCTCTTTATTTTTTTTGTTGGTTCTATGTTTATGATCAATATTACAACTTTTTTCTCTTCTCAATTCTTTTGTTGATGCTTTGTTTAGGGAGTTTTCTGTTACATATATACCAATTATTACCATAATAAGTATAGCAAAAAAAAAAAAAAAATGTTATTAATATTTATAAATCATAAAGTTAAATAAAAAAAAGAAAAAAAAAAATTGTATAGGAATTATAGGAATTATATGTATACATGAAATACTTTGTAAATATCTATTTATATAAGAAATATTGTAAATATTCCTACATGAAATAACATAAATAGCTATATTTGAGTAAATATTTTGATAAAATTTTTTACTAATTTGAAATAATATTATAAGCGTTATAAAACAACTTTCGTATTTATAGTATATAATAATAAAGAAAAAAAAAAAATTTACAAAAAAAATATATATATATTTTTTTTTTTTAATTTATTATTATGAGCTCATGATGAGATATTGTTGAATCTATATAGAGGGGTGGTGTTAGTGCGGCGTTCCAAACATTTTTTTTATTTTTAAGGCAGGGATTCCTTGAGAAGAAATTGTATTCCTCTATTTTTCACGTGATTTAAAAATGAAACGTTTTACTGACAGCACGCAAGCATTACCAGATGTATTGCCGGTGTTTCCCACATTTGAGGAAACCGTGACGATGCAGGCTGGTGATGTTAAAAACATCGATTGGGGGATGGAAGAGTCCATCATATCTGAAATGAAAGCAGTGGGGTTGCCCAGAGGTAGAACCAGCGATTTAGGTGTAAGCCTAGCGTATACTGAACTTCCTAAGGCAGCGGTAGTAGTGGTGAACATCAGGAACAAGGCTCTTCCCATCCTATTCGATGAAGATTTTTTTTAAGTTTAAGAAACCCAAATAGATAACAGTGGTTTTATTTATAGATTTTTTTTAGGTGTCGAAATATTGAAGTAATTTAGGTCAAGTAAAATGAAGTAGGTAAATAATAGTTTTTTTTTTACGCATTGAAATAAGTAGTGTAGTTAGTTTATTATATGAACATAATAATCATTATTTGAATATTATTATATGAATATGAATAAATGTAAAGATGAAATAGTAATGAATTATAGATAAATTTAGTTAAGTTAGGATATGCATTTAAAACATGGCATGAATTTTTTTGTTGTTGTCTACAGTGTAGCCTCAGTTGTCAAGAACCCCACCCCCAAAACCGGCGAGCATACCGGGCTAGCCACCATGCCATGAGAGGCGACTGAGGGCACTAATTCTAATACAAGGTGGACACGACTATGAAAAACTTGGATATATGACCCGGATCGAAGGACCTGATCTTAGTACATCCCACTACTATATACCTTATCATTGTGTGCTCAAGCCAAATAGCACTTCTACAAAGCTTAGAGTTGTATTTGACGCCTCGTGTCGTACTACAACGCAAAAATCACTTAATAGCATTCTTATGGTTGGTGCTACAATTCAGGAAGATTTGTTTACGCTTCTGTTACGTTTTAGCCATTATCGCTACGCCATTACTGCAGAAATAGTAAAAATGTTTAGACAAATCTTAGTAGACTCAATTGAACGCTGTTTTCAATATATTTTATGGCGTGCCTCAGAAAGTGAAGAAATACATACCTATCAACTCAATACTGTTACATACGGAACAGCTAGTGCACCGTTTCAAGCTGTAAGAAGCCTACACTACTTGGCTGATAAATATGCTTTCGAATTTCCAATTGGTTCAAAGGTGTTCAAGTCATCATTCTACGTCGATGATTTTCTATGCGGAGCAGACTTATTAGATGAATTGTCCACAATAAAATATGAAGTCTCTAGTATTCTGCGAAACGGTTGTATGGAACTCGCTAAGTGGCATTCCAACGTTGAAACATTTGTCGACGATATCACTATGAAGAATTTAAACCTCACTGATACTTCAATCACTAATGCATTGGGCATTATGTGGGAACAAAGGAACGATCAATTTTTGTTTTCATTTTCACCAAAAGATCTTCACAAAGGTAACTTAACAAAACGCTCTATTTTATCGCTAGCTTCATCACTTGGACTGCTTGCGCCACTACTTATTACTGCAAAAATAATTTTACAAGAATTGTGGCTACTCAAATTAAATTGGGATGAGACAATACCACAGAATTTATACACTGCGTGGGAAAATTTCCTGAAACAACTATATTCACTATGTTCAATTGTTATACCGCGCTTTTGTCTTGGTGTCAACTCACAGGTTATTCAATTACATGGTTTTTGTGACTCATCCATAAAAGCATATGGTTGTTGCTTCTATTTTCGTGTAGAGGATACAACACAAATCATTGCTATGTGCCAAATCTCGTGTGGCTCCTACGAAGAAAAAGTCGTTGCCGAAACTTGAACTTTGTGCAGCTCAGTTACTCGCTATTCTCTTTGACAAGGTTAAAGGTATTTTCAATAATATCAAGTTTGAAACCTATTTGTGGTGTCACTCACAAATTGTGCTACATTGGTTACGTATGCATTCATCGACATTATCAACTTTTGTAGGAAATCGAGTATCAGTTATACAGGATTTAACCGTTATTTGCGATTGGAGATATGTACTATCACAACAGAATCCTGCTGATATTGTATCGAGAGGCTGCACAGTTCCAAAAATTATTGATTCAATTTGGTATAAGGGCCCAGCGTTTTATACGGTCCACAAATTGGGTGGCCTAAAGTTGGTCACGTTACTGTCGACATGGAACAAGTTAATAAAGAAAAACGAAAGACTGTATTTGTTGTCGCAGAAAATTCTAATTATAGCGTTGAAAAACTATCTAAATTTAGTTCACACATCACTAGTGTACGTGAGATAGCGTGGATGCTTCGTCGTGTAAAAAAAGGAGTAGAAGGTCAAGGTGTTTGCAAATTTCTTAACCCGTTTTGTGAAGATACATTTGGGTGCAATTTGTTAAAGTTTGGTGGACGTCCAGAATTAGCTTCACTACCTCATACGCAAAAGCATCCTGTATTACTACCCAGCA